CTTTACGATAACGCACTTCATGCAAATTTGAAGATGATCCGAAAAGAACTGCAGCCGGTTAGTACTGTAGATTAGAAAAAAATCGTTCAAAATGTGGAAAAAGTATGAAAATTGGTACACTTGCATACTTTGTATGCTCTTTCATTTAAAGACAGGACACACGCGATCTAACTACAACTTCGGCCCGCCATCTTGAATTCAAAAATGGCCGCCGTCATTTCTTAAAAAAATAGCTATATCTCGGTTAAAATTTCGTACAGACTTGAAAATTGACTGACGACGTAATTTTGTTACTATTTCATACAACAACGTGATGCATGTGATCCAAGGGCTTTTTCGGCGCTATCTTGAATTTAAAATGGCCGCCGTCATGTAAGAAAAAAATAGCATATATCTCGTTAATAATCTTCGTACAGACTTGAAAATTTACTGACAGACGTAATTTGGGTTACTATTTCATTACAACAACGTGATGCATGTGATCCAGAGCGTGTTTCGGCCACCATCTTGGATTCAAAATGGCCGCCATAAAAATTAAAACTTAAAACAATATTTCCGTTCACGGAAGATATAGAGATGTGAAAATTTGCAGATGGCGCAGGTTAATACCAGCCGGCCAAGTCGACACGTGGCCGTGTCCAACACGCGTTGGAAACGATGGAAAAACGCATTTTATCGTGGAGTTCTAAACACGCATTTTCAACGTGCCGTTTTTCAAGTAAACGCGTCGTGTACACAAGCAGTTCAAAACTCACGCGCGCGAGCACGCACGCACGCACATAACAGATAGCTATACGCCCGCGAGAACGCACGCACGTACATAACAGATAGTATATACGCGCACGAGCACGCACGCACATAACAGAAAGCTATATACGCGCGCGAGCACGCACGCACATAACAGGTACCTATATACGCCGCGATCACCGCATGCACATAACAGGTACCTATACGCCGCGAGAACGCACGCGCATAACAGGTACCTATACGCCCGCGCGAACGCACGCGCATAACAGAAGTATATACGCGCGCGAGCACGCACGCATATAACAGGTACCTATACGCCGCGCGGAACGCACGCGCGCGAGCACGCACGCACATAACAGATATCTATACGCGCGAGAAAGCACGCACGCACATAACAGATAGCTATATACAGCGCGCGAGCACGCACGCACATAACAGGTACGCCATACGCCCGCGAGAACGCACGCACATAACAGAAGCTATATACGCGCGCGAGCACGCACGCACATAACAGTACTTATACGCCCGCGAGAACGCACGCCACATACAGAAGCTATATACGCGCGCAGAGCACGCACGCACATAACAGAAGCTATATACGCAGCGCGCGAGCACGCACGCACATAACAGGATACCTATACGCCCGCGAGAACGCACGCACGCACGCACATACAGAGTAGCTATATACGCGCGCAAGCACGCACGCACATAACAGATAGCTATACGCCCGCGATAACGCACGCCCATAACAGATACTATACTGTACCATACAAGTGCTATATTGTGGTTGTGGCAGGTACAGTTACCGCACTGAGTAACAATCTGCGACAACTTGTGGACAATGCAGTTTCGAGACATTTGTTCGTAGACAATAGTATTATTTAGTTGCCATGCATGTTCTTGTGTACTGTATACTACAACTTGTTGTCTTGATTATCGAGACATTTCATCGAGACAATAGTATTATTATGTTGCCATGCATGTTCTTGTGTACTGTATACTACAAACTTGTTGTCTTGAATTATCTCTCGACTCACCACTGGGATTGCAGTTTGGCATTGTGTTGTTATATATTGAGAAAAACCGGTAATTCAACATTTTTACCATGTTTGTTTGTATCTGTTATACTATGTCATTGATCATTTTGAAGTAACAGAGTAACAACGTGATGCGGCCAGTGTTAAATTTAATATGGCCGCTGTAATTATAATTGGAACTGTGTGTCTTGTTTTATATGAAAGAGCTTATTAGCCTGCGCCAGTCTGAATTTCACGTCTCTATATCTTCCGTGAACGGAAAATTGCTAATTTGTAATTTTTATGGTGGCCATTTGAATCCAAGATGGTGGCCAAAAACGCCTTGGATCACATGCATCACGTTGTTGTATGAAATAGTAACCCAAATTACGTCTGTCAGTCAATTTTCAATCTGTACGAAGATTATTAACCGAGATATAGCATTTTTAAGAAATGACGGCGGCCATTTTTGAATTCAAAATGGCGGCCGAGGTTGCTAGTTA